CCAGAGCGGTAAAAACGATTTGCGCGGTAAGGAAAACGGAAAATATGGATGTCTTGCAAAACTGAAATATAGTTCGATTCCACCAGTCCAAAAAAGGGGTGATCCATTTGAATTGTTGACCGGGAAGGCAGGCATTCAAGATTGGAGGCAATTTTAAATATATATGAAGTTCCAACGTATGCATCCATATTTCTTTGCTTTCATTTAAACAAAAGTTATTCGGTATGAAGAGAAGAAGTATAAGCTGTGATGTAGTGAGAGATAGAAAGTGGTACAATTTGAGTAATGATATGTTACAAAGAAAGTACTAAGGTACAATGGTCAGAAGGATCACCACAGATCTGTACGTAGAAGACTAGCTGTCAAGCACGGATTGGTTTCGCTAATATATCCTATAAGGCGTTTGGCGAGTTAGCCACCACAATTTTGTTCAGTTACGTGTTTCTAATGATATCGCGGAGATGTGTACGAGTCGTAATTTATTATACTTTATTCACAAACCCTGTCGGGTAAAATACAGAATTGGATCGACCACATATCGTGTTTTTACCGATGCAACCAATGAATAGAATGAGGATTTGTTAAAGGTGATTGTGTATCTTTTAGGCATGGGGTGCTGGTATGTAGACGACTTATGGATATGGTCCTTGGATTAGTCCAGTATCTATAGTTAGGACATCATAATCAGCTACGAGTATGTGCAAGGGCCCGATAGTTACCATAAGTAGCTCCTGTAGGTGACACTGAGTACAGTTATGAGTATGACGGGCCGTCGGTGGCCGCTGGACTGGGCTACTGACCATAACGGAGGCCTCATACTCAGCGTTGCACATAGACACAGGCCTAGCAATTACGATAAACAGCTAAATTAAGCGATATCGACTACAGTTACGAGTATGACGGCTCGTCGTTGGCCGTTAGATTAGGATATCATGCACAGTTCAGCCTTCTTTTTAATTGGCCCGCATAGATGTTGGCCTGGTATTTACTATAGGTGGTAGACGCAAGCGAGAGCGCGCACAGTTATTGGTATGACGGACCGTCTTTGGCCGTTAGATTGAGGTACCGTGCATCATGCTAGACGGTATGCCACTCACAAGTTGGGAATAAACCCTGGCTCTATAGTTGAGGCCTAGTAATCAGCGATGCAAATAGGCACGGGCTTGGCAGTTTCAAAAAGTAGTCAAGGTAGGCGATATCGCGCACAGTTAGGAGTATAACGTTCGTCGTTCGCGGTTAGATTGGGTTTGTGTGCGTAGTTTAGGCCTCATATTCATCTGCTCGCATAAATACTGGCCCGGTGTTTATCATAAGTGGCAAACGTAACCGACAATTACGCGTACAGTCACGAGTACGACAAACCAGGTCGGCCTGGGTTACCGGTTAATCAATGCCGCACATGGACACTGACCTAGTAGGTGCGATAAGTAGCCACGTAATGCGACATCGAGTACAACAATGAGTATGACGGACCGTCAGATTAGGCAATCACATACAGTTGAGGCGTTGTTTTTACCGGCCGGCATTGATACTGGCCTGGTGTTTACTATAGGTAGCAAAGATAAGCGGCGTCGCGTAAAATTATGGTTATGGAAAACCGTCGTTGACCATTGGACTAGGTTACTATGCATGGGCGAGGCCTCGTCATCAGTGTTGCACAGACACGGGCCTAGCAATTACAATAAGCATTCGAGATGAGTGACAACGCGCAGGGTTATGAGTATGAAGGGCTGTCCTTGGTCTTTGGATTAGGCTGCCGTGCATAGGTGAGGCCCCAGAATCAGCGTCGCGCATAGACACGGACCCAGCAGTTATAATAAGTAGTCGAGGTGAGTAGCAACGGCTACCGTTATCATGTTGACGGCTTCATGGCGGTCACTACCCATAGATCATCATATTCCTAATGGGGATGATATCATTGTGTTGGTAATTCACTTGCAGCTATCTCGTGGCGTCGTATCAACTACAGGCTAGCTATGCGTATCTGAGAAAGGGAATCATCCAAAGAGATGGCCCTCGCATCGCCACTGCACAGTTCATGCTGTCGTCTGACAATGTTGTACTTACCCAGAACTGAGCTCCAAAGCAAACTGCTGTGACGAAGTCCGCTCAACAAAATCATCTCATTTATTGAATCTGAGGAGTGTAGAGCAAACAAACGTCAGTGACCGATTTTCCTAGGTGGAATTTGCAGTAGATGTTCTGCAGATATTTTTATTCTTAATGGACCCCGAAGAACACCAAAATACGCTAAAGTGTGATTTCGTGTTTAATATCGCGTAAACCGGTGAAAAAAAAGAATAGGCGAGGATCCGTGAACTTGAAATTTCGCCCACTTGAACAAAATGCTACGAACAACATGTCACCAGAAGGTGCAAATAGATTAGTCTAAGTCCTCTCAAAAACCACAGCTTAAAAACCTTATAGTGTTGGTAAAAATAATTTGAGTGTGCTTCAAGTGAGCGGCTACTGAAAGCTGCTCCCGGTAAAAGTCACATTCTCGGCGAAATTAAGTTCGGGTTGATTCTAGAGATCGGGTTCCGAGGCAAGCAAGAGTCAAAGTGGGCGAACTGCCAGACTAAGCGCGCTGTTGAACGCACGTATGTTTGGGTGATTTCAAGCGCGGATACGTGAACAGCCAAAAAACGCTGTGTGCAGTGAACAGAAACTGGTATTGGTGGAACCAAGGCAACAGTAGGAAGAATGAAAATAAGCGCCAAACATGGCTCAGTAAACTAGTCATTGTCGACAGGTCATCACGAACATTCAGGAGTGGTCGTGAATTATTACGGCTCCAGATGGTGCTGCCTTAGCCCCCTCGAATTTATTCTATCTTCGGCTTTACATGGGCGCACAGCGGACTATATGTGTCCCAATATGTAACTTGCTCACTCGTAAACCTGCTGAATGCATTCTTCTCCTGGGACTCCCAGTGATCCTCAAGGCACCTTCGCCTATATGGTTTTGATTATCAGAAAATTGTACTCTATATATCTGATACCTTGTTGGTATATGGCCCAAGAACCAGCTTGCTTGCTCGTTGAAGGCTTAGTAACCGCAGAGATAAAGTGTATTCCATTTGTTCTCCTGCACTTGGGAAGTCAATACTTCGTAACTTATGGAGTAGGTCACTTCTGGAACTAGCAAAACTGGTGCTGGTAGCACGGTGTGAAAACACGCAAAATGCTAATAAGATCGTTGGTGAAATGGTGAATTTGTCGTCCACTACCATTCGCTCGGTAGATTTCGAATGACAGGCCGAATGGCCTGTGCCAATTAAAACTGGGTGAATAAGCCTAGCAATCGAGCTCCGGGTGCATGTGTCAGGTGGGGACATGCTAGTCGAGTAAAAGAAATATAAAATATTAGCCAACGCCTAAGTCGAGTACAATCATGGCTCTACTGGGCACAATGATTGACCCTGTGTCGTCTACCAGTAAACCAAAGGGAGTCAAGGTGGATAGGCTGTGATTTCTAACATAAACGCCAGATGAGAAACAGTGCTTTCTGATAAAGAACATCCACACGCGTGAAAACCGCTAATCACGACCGGACGCTTTTTGTCTCTTCATAAAGGTTCTGGCATGACCTTGTGGGGCATTCGGTGATAACCCTATAAACACAGTTGCAGCAATATTCGATTGTCTCCATGAGGAACTGTCTCAAGCTGTCGTGACCACTGATACATCATTGTGGGCGGAGCGGGAAGCCAGGGACTGATATAGAAGTTGCACTAACGTCAGCAACGAACAACACAGGCTTATCGGTTAGATAGCACGTTGTTCACCGTTTGTGACTGACTCCTCATTGGCATGACGTTAGCATCTGTGTAATGGTTAGTACGGGACACTCCTTGGGCACCGATTCTGAAAGATATGCTGTGTACAAGTGTACGACCTCTTATTCCATCTTGATCAGTAACAAGAAGGAATCTCACTAACCCGCCTGGGTAGTGGTCTTGTGTGATCTGAATTGAACGAACGTTCATTTTGATCAAAGTTGTCACAGTTTTGGTGTGGTCAGCAAAGTCCTGACCAAGACAAGCCGAAGAGGCCACATTAAATTGGAACAGGAATGTTCCCTAGGGGATAGTGGTGGACAAAAGCAAAGTCGTGAGAATTAGGTGGGGAATGACATGGACAACGAAAACACACACCATGCCGCTTCGGGAGATAGTCGTCAGTTTTTTACCAATCGGAGATCCTTTTGACTAATGAAGTTTGCCTTTACAGACGTCCCACTTCTAGGGTAACTTGTTGGGAGCGGTAGCAAGGAATAGCATTCCAACGGAGTATAGCAGACCGGCAGTACGCAGCCAGTAGCGAATTCAGTGATATTATACTACCTGAATCAGTATGCTACTACATATCCTACCTTCGGTTACTTGATCGCAAGCGTTGCATCTAATCCCCCGCCAAATTGGGGGATTTCGAAGTATTGCTGACAGGCTCAAACTCCAACGTCGATCGTGAAGCAGCTGACGATACTTTTCCACTTCGCAGCCCCACTGGATGTCATTATTGGTTGCATCAAACACAGGCTTTGCGGTCAAACGACGCCGACTAGGTTCTCGTCCATACAGTGAAATGTGTTAGGCGTTGAGAACAACTGTATTACTATCAAATATGTAGTTCAAACTCGTAAAAAAGACTGATGGTCTTTCACCATTGATCTACTGGTTTACCGTAGATCTCCAGCTGCCGTTCTCAATGCGCTTCTCTGAAGATTAGACGATGAGGAACTACACCCAACCTTCTGGGAGTGACCACAACAGGGGGCAATGCATTTCAGATATTTTACTTGTACAACCACGGTAGTTTGCGGGTAACACCGCCGTAAGTGTACATAATGAACACAAAAATCACCAAGACCCGTGGCGACGGTATTTAACGTTCACCGGTTCATGTGACTGGACCGACCAAATTCAAGTAAAAAAAAATGCAGTAACAAATGAAATAGAACTGGGGATTGTGTACAAGAGGGGCAATCAAATGATCGGGCTACCACTGAGTACGCCCACCCCAAGGACCATCCTGACGCGAGTATTTAGGTCGATTATCTGGCGGTAGTGGGCCAGGTGGAGGGGGTCGCTTGGTTGGGGGAAAGTAGTTTGGTGGATGCATCCCAGGTTCAGGGTGAAAATGGTCACGAGCAAGTGGATATCTCTCCGATGGAGGTGGTGGAAGTGGTGGCTGTCTTCTTGGAGGAGGAGGACCAGGAGGATGATACACCGAAAACCGACCATCATCACCTTTGGACCATTCTCTTTCACGAGGTCCCGGAAAGTGACGAGATCGTTCGTCTGGGGGAAACCGACTGGATCGTTGATGGCCGTAGGGTACGTTCGGTTCCGTTGCGTGCGGGATCGGTCGGGGATGATCGAGAGGGATCGCTTCACGTGGTGGCCCATGACCACGCATTTCCATTGGATGATGCGGATTGTCAAACCGCTCATTTTCATACGGTGCTTGGATCGTTGATGGCCGTAGGGTACGTTTGGTTCCGTTGCGTGCGGGATCGGTCGGGGATGATCGAGAGGGATCGCTTCACGTGGTGGCCCATGACCACGCATTTCCATTGGATGATGCGGATTGTCAAACCGCTCATTTTCATACGGTGCTCTTTGATAATACGGTGGTGGTGGTGGTGGAAGTGGACCAGGCTTACGAGCAATAGAATCTGGATGTTCATAGTCTCTATAGTCTCTATCCTCGGTATGTGGCTTTGGAGGAAAATCGTCGTGGCTTGAATATGTTTTTCCGAATGGTTCGTGGTCATCATATCGGTTACTTAGGTGCGGTGGGGGTGCGACCTGAGTATTCCCGTTGTTGAGTTCTGGTAAAGGGGCATCAAAAGTATCTTTCCATTTTCCTGAAATCGAAATAAAAGAATATGCATTTCAACTTTAAACTGTGTCATCAGCTTCAAGGGAACCATGACAAATAAAGAAATATTCAAGACTAAGGGGGAAACGCGAGATATAACAAAAAACCATCCTAGTGACACTCGGAGAAGCGTATGGTTTATGAGATCAACTAACCGGGAGCATCCCTGATTTCCGGTCGAGGTCCAATCGGAGGTGGACGTTCTGGTTCTCGTGGAAGGACAATTGGCTCCACAGGTTCTGGAGGTTGGCCCAAGTAATTCATCGGTCTCACAGAACGGGTAACTACACCTTGATTGTCAGCAGTATGATCTCCTGGAAACTTCTGTCTACGATCAGCTATGGAGTCAGTACGAGCGGATGCTTGGGTGTTGTCGCTGTCCTTGTGGACGGCTGGTATGGTGGGTTTGACCGGGGGCAAGTATTGTGGCGGTGTAGCAAAGTCCGTGACCGCAGCAGCTGCGGCAACTGCTGCGGCCGCAAGCTGCGTGGGACTGGGAGCTGGCATCATTACAGTCGGCATCGCCGTGATACGGGTGCTGGCCCAGTTGGCAGCAAACTCCTTGGGTATGGTTCGGGTGTTGCGCATTTTGTTCCGGTCACGTTCATCAGAATCGTCCCCAAAGTCAGTTAGGTTCAAGTCCGTCACACTTCCCTCGTTGATACCGGGTATCTCAACGGCCGAAATATCGTCCGGGTTGTTTACAAAGGCCTTCTCTTCAGTAATGTCAATGATGCCGTTTTGCAAAGTGGAATCTGCTAAGGCTTTCAATAGGTCATTAGTTAGACTCAAATGATCCGCTGTCTCAGTATCATTGACTCCATGATTGACAGCCTGCAGAAGACTCTCTGTTGCTGCACTACTGGCGGTCTCCTTTAACATATCACCTGGACGATTCCGTGTCCAAAACTTTCTAAAAAGGCGAATAGCGATGCGGAATATCAAGACATAGATGAGAAAAATTGAAACACATAGAACAAACAAGAGCACAGCTAAATGAAGACTTACGTAGCAAAGTCATTCGCACCAGATACCAATATATGACCCAATGGATGCCAAGCAAGACTCCATATCATGCTTTCGTGTGCATTCTCAACAGCACCCAGTTCCGTGTCCGTTCTGAAGATAAGGAACAAAAACACACATGTAATTTACGCAAAGCCCTGGAGACAGCCCTGAATCACACTTACGACATCAGAATAAGCCACGACCCAGTTCTCTTCCTAGTAAAAACATATTCCTGTCACGAATAAGAAAATTCTGATATTCACTAGCTAATTACATTCAGACATGCAGATAAAACCAAGAGGATCACCATAGAAACAAACAGATGCCGCTTGGTCTCCCGAAAGGCCAAAGGCCTTAAAACGGCATATTCAGAGGGGAGGGATGTCACCATAAAGTACTTTCAATTTCTGTCGAGAGCCCTGGTCTTTTAAATGACTTACGAGTGAGGTGAACAAACAACCACAACAAAATAGGGAACGCAGGCTTTCACGTAAGTCGTTATAAACCACAGAAGTCACTGTCCAAAATAAAATAGAATAAAGCTAATGCCCTTCGTCATTCGTACAGATGTACACATTGGCTGTTACGCTAAACAAGTGATGCCGCTGGTATCACTACGGCATTTGTTGCTCCCTGAACTGGCTCAACTTACCTGATCAGTAGATCAATGAAATGCAAGCTGAATCATGGGATGATTGATTGGTATTTATCAACATCTTACTGATTAGTTGTTCTTGTCATCTTCAGTTGTTACTCAAGTCTGGCTGACAAGGCACGAAGATTTTCGTTCCTAATGCTTTAAACGATGGAGACTGATGAGCAATCTACGGGTTTATCATGTTGATACACCTTCACGAACCAGTGATAATTATGCTAGACCACTAAATATTTGAAGAAAACGATGCAGAACGCGTCCAAAAAATCTGTTCTTAACAAGACCAATTTTGTTCGTACACAATAGGACGCGAAATACGCCTCGATCGTGAAGAAACAACTCACTCGAGCAGATTTCGGTACCTATTGGGGTGTTTTCTTCAGAGGAGCAAACGGCACAAAGTTCACACGCATGCAAATGTAGTGTACTGCGGCCGAAGCTCACGAGGATGGGTCCAACATTTATTTAGGAATATCTTGGATTCTTTGTAATGTACTACTGGCGCAGCACATTCAGTTGCCTGAGAACATCATAAACGAGAGATTCAGCTGGGTTCCAGGTGAGCCTCTCGAAAGAACCAAATTAGTTTGCAAATGAGTGTATATTCGCTAATCTTGGATTCTGTTTCATTTTGACAATATCGGACAGTGCAATTTTCCGTTTAAGGACTGTGACGCACGGCAACCTGCTACTTTTGTCATTGCGGGCTGTCCCATTCGGTCATTCAACTGGCCGCACTGTACAGTCAAATGTAGCCCGCAACCGGACAGTGACTAAACAGTCACTTGAACACGCCATCCACGGTCAGCAACGTACGGGTGCTTGAGTGGTCCGTATGAATTTTCAGTGGCATACAGAACAACGATAGACCGCTACATGGTCCTGGAGAGTAGGTATTTTAACAGGCAAAAAAGCGAATCAACTGGGGAATCTGGAATAGCAAACCGTGTGTGGCTCCTAGCGATAAAGTGGTAGAGCAATGGCGTAAGCAGTCTAACACCCATGAGAAGCTCGACATCGAATCTAGCGAGCAACAGATAGCTTACGGAAGGTATCTCATACAAAGTTTGAGGTTGATATCGTATGCTGATTGACTCACCAGTATAACCTGCATGAATGCGTCCGAGACATCGAAAAAATTACTCACCCTGCCAACCAGTAAAAGATAGAGCCATCAGCGCTTCCACTGGCAAAAAGGCACTCGTGGAAAGGGTGCCACGCGACCCGCATTACGTCCCGCTTGTGTCCTCGAAAAGTTTGCAGTTCGGCCTTCAAGTTCCTTAGATCGAACAACTTGATGAGGTGATCTCTTGAAGCTGTGAGGAACCAGTTGCCATTGTCGTTCCATGCTACATCAGTGCATGTGTTCTTGTGAATGTACCTGGTCGATTTAGAGGAAATCAGATGGAGTGCGGCCATACAGTTTCGGAAACGTGTTCAAAGTAAGCATGTAGTGTTGACAAAATATCTTCCAATCATTCCAGCTACTCAACTGAAACCACTGTCACCGCGCGGAGATGAGTTAAAATTTTGTTGAAAGTGGATGTCTATCATCATCGATTTACAATCCAAGTATTCGCACATGCATCGTCAAAAATTTACGCAAAATTATGAAAACGTATAGATGGTCTCCTATGGATGAAAGGATGACGCATTCTAACTCATTTCCGGGTTTTAACGTGATGTGTCGGTGTCCCACCTAATGGCATGATCTAAACGATGGAAATCCAGGGTGGATACACAAAACAGACTCATGTCACTGTCAGTAGTGAACCAAACAGTAGTCATAAGCTGAGTAGTTGGTCAAATTTGTTTGTGTTCATCCATGATACATATTCACAGTGGAAGTTCAGAAAGGAGGAACGTTTGGAGAGTGAACGACTGAAGTCGTCAAATCAATGCCAACATCATAAGTAACTGGATCAACATATTCGACAGAAAAAACGCCAGTGATTGTCGCTGGGCTCATGGTTACGAACCGAAGATCCGTCTTGGGTCCAGTTTGTAGTACTATACAAACTATACGACCACTAGATCTGGTTTTTGTGCTACACCTGCCACCTCAATCTCGCTGCAGTTTCCAAATCCACATTCACACTCTTTAAAATCCAATTTTTGGTTTTTGGACCCTATGTGGGGGGTAGGCCGAGTATGGCACGATTAGAAAAACGACCCATTCGGAACTGATCTGACTCCAGCATGGCGTTTTGTCTTTGCCTTTTTCGCCATGGATACATAGGAACCATTTCATTCAGCGACCCTTTGCACAGAATACTAGACTCCGAAAGGAAAATGGGTGGGTACACTTTTCAACCAAAAACTCCAGTTTGTTGATAATAAACCAATGTTTCAAGCCACACGATCACCCTTCCGACTCCACTATCTTCTATTTTTCAATTCCTCTCTCCATGTAATCGCCCAGCATGCTGAACTATCCCTGAGGGATTGGTGTACTACTGACTTGTTTGATGCGATAGTTGAATACATGTACGCTCCGATCTCAAGACTTCAATTTATTACTGCCACTTTTTGAGAAAAGTACCGTTCAAAGTTGAGAAACTGCCTTTTGAAAATAGTGGTTTCCTTTATTGATTTGCAGTTTCCAAATCCCTTAGAGTTTTCACTTGAATTCACCCGTGTGCTCTTTGGTAGTCACGTCAGTACTCATTTGAAACACCGCTCTGTTCAGGCGTCTCATCATCATAATCATCATCATCGACAGCATAACATCAATCTCCAACGCTGATACTTCACTTCCGCTAAACCATAGTTTATTTGAAGGTTTTATGTGAAGTAAAGAGTAAAAGTTGACGGGGACACGGACTTAGTGCTAGCCTCAACGGGCAGCCGAGGTGCATAAAGGAAATCAAGATAGAAACGGAAAATAAGAACGCCATCGACATAGATTAGCAACCATAACTTGCAGCGTCTCCAACAAAGTGCAGTGGGGACTAAGCGGTCTCCATTCTGAAAGACGAGTTGCACCGACAGCATCCAAACGTTCCACAGTCTCTTTCATACCCCTCAAGGGTTGGCCACCTATCTGCTTCCACCACGCTGAATTGGGCACGAAAACAGCACTCTCCCCGATAAACGATGGTTAGGCAAGCGCAGTAAATGGCTTGACCAACGCAGCTTCTGGTGCTGGACACATCATTCAATAGAATTCCCAGTTGCACAACAGAAAATTTGCTTTCTAGTTGCCGTTGTGGATCCGCCGACGTTAACCCTTATATTCCCATTAAAATGACGCACGTCCTGTCTCTGAAACACGCATGCAGAACCCAAACGTGATTATGCATCTCTAAATGCCAAGGACGAACTCAACTGTCACATTTCACCCTCCATGTGTCCGGTAAGCAGGATGCGATGAGTCGTGGAATAACTCAGCCCCAGATCTGAACGCGCTTTGATGAAATGGATTCTAGTAAACAGTGGTCTTTGCGCTGTTCGGTTATCCAGCTCAATGCCTCTCGACATAAAAAAGGTGCCTGTTTATAGTGTCGACGGACGATGTCCCAACGGACTGCAGTTCTGACGCTGAAAAATACCGGTGGAGAGCAGTACTTTAAGATTGTCATTGCCGTTGTCACACAACTTGATTCCAATCACGCTATAGTGAGATCACACCCTCATAAGTCAGCATGAAACATGCCGATCCACCATCTTCAGAGAACTATCATAGTTCAGCAATATCGACTTGAGTTAGCTCAACTACTCTCTACGGTGAATCAACATTGTACTGGTAGCGAGCAGGTGGATGAAGAATGACAAAATGTGGAAGGGACTACGCTAGCAACATTCAGCGCTGTCTGTCCGACTTCTCCGATGGGATCAAATGATCATTGGATATCGTCAAGATCGCTGGCACCTATTAATGCCAGGAAATCAATACCAGCAGGAAACGAGTAAGACAGTACACGCAAATCCCTCAAACACCAAATAGTAAAGAGCTTAAGGGGAGACCGAGAGTCTTGATGGATAATGAGAGCTCAGGAGATGGTTTTTGCTCCTGGAAACAGCCATTCCACGAACCGACTAATTCGACCGACTGGTCATATAAAGTAACAGTCAGTGACATGTTAGGCGAAAAAGGAGGCTCATTCATCCATTTACAAAAGCGCGGACTGGAGAGATGGGCTGGACACCTCGAATAACAGCTTAGCTGGCTTCCTACAACAAAGCCTCTGGAGGTAGTGCATATGGGCGATGGAATGTATACCTTAATCGCCCGTCCGAAGAAATAAGATACAAACCATCCGCACTGAAACGTGAGAAGGCACCAGGATCACACGACCTGTATCCAGCGCTCTTCAAAGAAGGCAGACAATCCCTCATGATCCATTTGACAAAGCCCATTGGTGCGATAGGAAGTGAAGAGAGATAAAGGTTGCGATAAACTAAGGTTGTTGGGTAGATCCAATGGGTGATTGGCTTCATCATACATACGTGCTTCGAGTCTTAAACAGGTGTACACATTGTGGTGTGGTCATTCAATAAATCCGGGTCACTGAACAAACAACAGAGCACAGCACCTATCGGGTCATGTGAGAAGGCTCCGATGGGACAGTCTGAACAAGAAAATAATCTGCTTATTTTTCAACGCAGTACGCATAGGGGGGATGTGAAATCAACAGAGTCTCTAATAGACCAAAACACAATATAGTTAACACGGACCGGTAGAATGGGGGTCTCCTAATCATCCTGTATCCTCACAAAAGGGTTTGAAAGCCGGTGTCCTAGAGGGTACCGTAACTTGTCCTTTTTCGTTACACTTATTTTCCGTCTTTACCATTAGAGCAAGCATTGTGACAATCGGATTTTGTTATTTGTCTACTAATTAATCAGTTAGATGGAGAATGAACTATACGTTACACTTGACGTGAAACTAAAACCGTTTCCTCGATTCTAAAAACCGTCCAGCCTCCGAAAATGTCCCAGTTATTCATACATAGACGTGTGCTGTCAAGTTTCTGAATAACAAGCTTTAGGCAGTAATACAGATCAATGAACCGGGATTAATATTCACCGAAACTCACATGGTTGTCACAGATTCGCCCGTTTTTGGGTCCCAGAGCTTGATCGGTTGTTGTGCATCTTTGCTACCCGAAATGATAAGTGATAATGTGGGATGCCACGCCACACTCCGCACGTCGGACCCATGGCCTATGAAGAAACAAAATCAAATCATATGGTTTGAACAGTCACACTTACATTATTCTTAACCAGTATGACACCCGTGCTCAATCTGTTCGGTTAAACAACGCAGATAACAATAAATGGAGCTCCTCTTACAGACCAAATACACAATAGTTAAGAGAATTCAGCTGGCCTCCGTTCTAAACTGACTAACTAGATTTTTCAGCTGTGCAATCACTGTCCGAATGTAAGCCTAAATGCAACTGGAAAATCCCCAAAATAAAAAGAGTAGCCTTGAAGTGAACCACGACGCCAGGTGTAGTTTAGTCCAGCAAGGCAGCGTACACACCTTGATTCCCCAATAATTTGGAAATTTCTTCACAAGACTTTTAATTATTGGGTTCAGTGATCTCTTCCTATCATTAAGGTTTAAAGAAGACCAAACTATTCGCTACGCTAATTTTTTGATAGCCTCCTTGGGAATCATCAATGGCTCGAAACGACAAAAACCAACGAATCGTTCCTTACATGTCTGAGGTGCATGTCTGTATCCAGAGCCCTGAAAAGAACATTTCCCACATGAGAAATTTGAAAATTTCCAATTTTTTTTAGCTTGACAGTCTAGATCAAGTAGACTGAATGTCACCCAACCACTGGTACACGTTCGAACACGAGGACATTCATCACTTCGGTCTCAAAGTATGAAATTTTACCTGGTAGTTTTAGTAGGATGAGTCAAGCACTGTTGTTTGACAATCAGTCTAGCTGGCGAAGGAGTTCCCAACTCGTCCTGGCATGACGGAGAAGAGCATGACAGAGTATCGCTCGCTTAAGATTACCAGAGAACGTCACTTGCGCTTACTGTCTGAGACTATCCACCGGATAGTAGGAAGACCGTGAACATCGTCATCCGAGAATCACGTAGATGACGCATAGGCATAGTGCTTCGTTTCCGTCAAGCTGATTCAACCGAACATCGACGCGCGTCCAATTTCACATTCATTTAACGTTGAATGATTATAGAAAGTGATCGGATGTGTTCGGAACTACAACAAACACTTTGCCCTTCAAAGGCAGACGGCACATTTTTATCAACGGGCAATTAATTCCCAGTACAGAAGACAAGCTTACTGGTAGCATTGAATAAATGCAATCACCTAGGTTGGGTTGAAAAGTAGTTAAAGAGCACATACTGTGAGCTAGATGCATTTGCCGGCTAACTAAAGCAACCCGATTATAGTTCAGAAGTATAAGGTACAAAACGGTAGTGAGTTTACAACGACAGCAACTTCAAATTGTGTCAGACATAAAAGGTCCAAATGTGCGATTTCATTATGAACCGGACGACTTCGCTACCAGGTCACTGAGAATCAGAAAATGAACCAAACGTTTGCGCTTCCAGAGGCGTAGCAGACGTGGGTTTTACAATACATTAGCGAAGTTGCTGACAACCGACAACAAGATGGCTGGTGACCATGTAGGAACACATTACAGACATTACGAGAAGTCATGCTTGGGTGTTTCGGAAAAGCAGACGCGAACAAAACCAGTCCCGAGGATGTTTGGTACAATCCAGTTGTTAAATGAGAATAAGGTTATGTGATGAGTGAGATTGCTGTTACACTTGACTCAACTTAATCTCCTGATATTGAGCGACCTAAGCGATTGGATCCTGTAACGTGACTTGCTTTCATTTCAGCAGAAACTCCTATATAGCCGTTTCTTAGCATTACTTCGAGAGTTACATAGTCTGTGAAGCTTCATCTTTCAGGCGTTGAGTAGACAAAAGCACATCGTGGTAGATGAATGCAACTGTCACTATCTTCGTGAAGGACAGTACCAGTCAAAGTGATTACCTTGTAATATTCTGGCAGTGAGGGTTCAAAATTCAGTTGTAACGCCGTTTCGGTGGCTGACTGCCATGTCATCCAAAGGAAGCATGAAGGCTGAAATACTGTCAGACAGCTGCTGCCCAGACAGTAGTCGAGATGCTGAGGTTGTGTTCGAACCAAGTACCTTCTGGTCAGTAGGTTCCAGTCTTGATCACTGAGCCATCTCAGCTTTATTCTAGTAATCTAAATATTGATACCTCGGGTACAGATGGCAGTTGGTCTCTTCGCTGTGCTTGGCAATTGGCTTACAGACGTTTCATCATTGTCGTCAGTGCGCTGTTAGGGGGTATTTCCTCAGATCTGACTGAAGAGAGTATTCGGTATAGCAAACCTGTCTGATATAAGTCTCGTGTGCATTTCATTCGAATGGTTCGTTTAGGGCTTTACGGCGTTGCAGTCAGTATTGCATGCATTTACCGGATGTCACCATTTCAGTAGTTAAATCCACTTGTTCCGATCAGCCCGTTTGCGCTTCTCGGATCTCGCGTTTCGGTCTGCTTTCCTACTACTATATTCAACAGTTAGACGCTTTCTATGCTCAACAGCTTTCTCTCCTCAATTCTCACATTCTGTCGCTTTGTTGTTTGATGTTCTGGATGCTGACTAGTTCAGAGTAAGCAATTTCCATTTAGCCTACTGATTTGTTGTCCTTGTCCTACTTGGTTGATATTTTAGCGTCCCCAGCCGTGCTCGTCCCGTTTCGCCCTACCTTCGCTCCTCCTGTTGGTTTTATTACCTAACGGAAATATACAACCAAGCAGGATATGGACCGAAAAATCGGGTCAAACACCTTAACAAACGAAAATTAATCGTAGCGTGTGGAGGTTTTGTGATTTTAAGTCGAGATCTCGCCTGTAATTGAGGCTAACCTATTATCAAAAGCCGAGAAGTAGTGTAAAGGACAGTTGTTTCATCCTTAATGGGAATCATTAACAATACGAATCTCATGAAACTACAGTAGGGAGTTTCGAACCCCCAAACTCTCAATCAGTGACTGACCTCAAGCAGCTGAACAGCAGTGCGATAAGCGCTCATTTAGACATGATATAGCCCCGCTCAATCTCAATCAAAGAGACAACATCACTGACTGGCTCCTCGAGTGACCTCTTAGAAGGACGTTTCACTCATCTTGTGAAATTATCCTTCCTCTGAGGAACTTACAGACTGTTCGTGGTGTGAGTCGATTTTGTAGTTTTCAGCTGGGATTTCATCTTGTCGGTGGAGTTAATCTGTGTTGAAAAGCCAAGAAGCATTGTACAGCTGTTTCATCCTTATTTGGGAATCATTCGCAGTGCGCAGTGAGAGCCTACCACAGTGTTGTTCGGCCGCTTGAGATCGAACCGTTGAATGTTCGACCACTGACCGAAAGACCGCAAAGTTTGAAATTCCCTACTGGAGTTTCGTGAGATGCGCACTGCTGAGGGTTCCCAATAAACATGAAACAACTGTACAGTTCTTCTCAGCTTTTCAGCATAGATTGATCTCACTGACAGGACCGAACCTCAATTGAAAACGAAAACTGCACAAGAGGAAGAAGTTCCTTTGTAACCTGCCGGTAACCAAAATCCCTGAACACAATGTACTAGAACGTGAGAATTGATCGACCAAATCAGATTTGATACTTCTAAAAATAGAACATGTTCAACTGACAAGTCCAATGTCAGAGGCTCATCGATACACTCGCCAACAGACTAACCGGAACAAACGAACAGAATCATTTAAAGGAAGACCTCACGCGAACTAATGGAATACGTGCAAATCGGATCGCGACACAGCACAAATTCCAAGCAGACTAATCAAACAAAACTCCTGGCGGTCCAACATATTACAGATATCAACCAACCTTAAGAAACTACGTAGACGCAAGCATAACTGGAGTAAATGCTCTCTAAAGGGGCACCGACGATGTCCTTACGTGACAAAACGATCGTTATCCAACTGCCAAAACCAGATAACAGACCAGATGGCACCTCTTCAACAGAAGTTTGTGACCCGACCCTCGAAAATAAACGTGCATTTTACCTTCCGTTTTTACCCAGATCAAAGCATCTTGTGATTCCACCCACGTATATGTAGTTTTGTAGGAATGAATTGCCGAAATTTGAGGATATTTTGCGGATGATGCGCAGTTTGGAGATCAAGCATAAAAATGAAATCTCGCAGCATGCTTCTTTTGCATGTGCAGGCCGATGTTGGTCTACCTGTTCTTTGATACAGGCCTGTTTTCGAGGAACTCCACGTTCCCCAAAAATAGCGTGCATCTAAGGTGAATTCCAGCGACAGAAATCCTGCCGTCAGGTGCTATAATTCTTGGAGCCAGAACAGCTTGCTTTAGTAAAAAGTAATCTACCGAAACATCGAGACATTAACTGCATCTGATGCACGACTTAGTCAAGTCGAGGAGAAAAACTGGCAACGTTGACAAGTGTTTGCGAAGAGAATAAGTCAAGGGTGATGATAGTTCGAGAATCCCGCCAACACCTTCAAATCTAAAGCGGAACCACTGCACTCGAAACGGTACTAAACGAACCTGAACCAAATCGGCAACACTGAGTGCACAAGTACTAAACAGTCCGATAAAGCACAAAAAGTGACAGTTTTCGTTAACCCCTTTGGTCATATTGGTTAGAGTTGGTTAGAAATCAAGTTTGAAAATTGGCATGTCACGATGTCCCGATAAGAACACTGACGTGAAAGCGAAATTCAAGTATATGCGCTCTGAAAGGAAAAGCACCTCTTGAGGCAGGCTCGTCCCTATTGTATGCTTAAGTTTGCGTACTTGTACACGGCAGTACTTCCGTTGTATTAGTGTTCGTCAAGGTAATTTTACTGCCCTGAGGAAACAGTATGGAAGTATTCACCTCAGTATGTGGGAAGCAGGCCTAAACTCAACTGAATGCACAAAAATCCCACTCATATACTCAGACATTGAAATTACAATCTGAAAAAGTTCAATCAACTGCATACAAGAGCTAATACCGTTCGCGGAACCTGCATTTTCGGTGAATGACCCAGTTAGCACTCCAAAGACTGCAGGACGGTGAGTACAATTAAGCAGTATCTGCAGAAATTTATCGAAACTTCGGCTGCGAAACTCGCAAAAAATCCCTTCAAAGTTCAAGTATGAAATAAGGT